TTTTCTGTGGGTACATGTGGGAGTTCATCTGACACCGAACCAGCATATTCGTGCTGTCTATAACAGCATTTTATGCCTAAACTATACTGATGTGGCCAAGGGGGGGGGGGGATAGAATAAAGTGCCGATATTATGTCCGAGTCATCGCAAAGCCTGCTGCAGAAGCGTCTTTAAGCCCGAACCGTCGGACACAGATCTCCGCGAAACTACCGAGAGGCGACTCTATAAAAATGACACAGGAGATATTATTAAAATAAGTGTATGCGTTTTTGACAACATTTAGTTTAATTTTTTTTTTTAAAGAAGCAAGTAGGTTATACCGCAGTCTACTACGTACTTACGTTACAGTAGATGTCGAGTATACTTCCGTCATTGAATAAGTCACTGCAGTAATTATGTGTATTATTATTTTTATTGTGTTGACTTTGAGTCCAATGATGATATAGGTACCTTATTCATTGCACACGAAAAACAATTTTGAAGGAAGAATTAACTGATTCTGTCAGCCTATATGGTTATATTACCCACTAAGTATTATTATTTCATGACACGTTTTATTACCAAGCATAATATGTATACGTGTATTTTTATTTGACTTATTTTCTATTATTATATTATTTTTTCTTTTTGTCTCTCACCTATATGTTCAGCTTTAAAACTACATACTGTAATAGGGAGCAATGTCCGTAAATAATTATATAAATAAACAAAATTTCATATTTTAACACTAAATGTGGATTTACGCTCAGTTGTTTTTAAGGCAAGTATTAACAACTTTTATAAGGGACCTTGATGCTTATTGACCGGGTAAAAATATTGTATACACAAATTATATAAAAAAAATAACTAAATAAAACCAAACGACGGTCCAAGCGAAAACGGTCTAACTTTTTAATAATTATATTAATAATTCTGACGTTCATATTTTTTTTCATCGTTTATTTTAAAAGTTATGAGTATTTTCAATTTTAACCTCCCAAAAGTACCAACTAAATCCAATTCGCTACCAGAAACCTTCAACAAAGTTGATAATCAGAGCATTTTTTCTGATAGATAACCGATGTTAAGATTTCAGATTTCAAAAAATAATAATAATAACACATCATTACCACGGTCCGCTCAGAGTCTAAAAAATACACTGCTCCCTATTTATCATCGATTACGCAATATATTTTAATTACACGTCATATTTTTAAACCATCCATTTTTACAGACACGGCTCAAAAACATTCAAAGTAACGATAGGTATACTATGGTCAAGCTCAAGACGTTCGATACAATATTGGTGGTTTAAATTTTCATCGTACAGTAAATATATATGTGTGTGTGTGTGTGTATAAAAAAGTACGTTTTTTCTTTTTTATTTCTCCCTATAGAATCAAAAACTATTGGACTGTTTTCAATAAAAGTTATATCAATAGACTCCTCGGAGACTCGGAGGGTGTTTATAGCTTATTTTCTTCGACCTCTATAGGTTATGCTATAAGGTGAATCACACATGAAGATAGTTTTGGTCCTCAAAAATCGAATATTTTTTTTGTTTATTTAAACTGGTGCCATTAGTCAGACATTACGAGTATATAACTATCATATTATTGTATCATATTGTACGTTTATTTACAAATATAAATGTTTTTCAACCAAACCTTAAAATCAAATAGGTACTTATGAACACAATTACAATGACAACATATTTAATGATTTGATTTCTCAATACAGCATATATTTTTTTATGTAAACACACACAAAGACAAAATGCCTATCTTCACGATATGGGATTTATGTCGGCTTTTAAGCGCATTCGACGAGTCCGTCTACGTGTTCTTGTATTTACATTAAAAAAATAAGACCAAAACAAATTAAGGAGCCGAAAATCATAAAATTAATCATTGTAATTATTGTATTTGTATTTCATATTTCAGCTGAAGCCAATCGGAAAACGATAAAATTACGGGTTAATTTTAACCTAGACGAAATCTGATAATAAAGCTAGTAGTATTATACATATATTATTTTGTATTTTTATGCGAACATATATTAATATGAATATAATATCACACATTTTATCAGCTAACAAATAGGTAACCAAACTATAGCAACTATGTTATACACGTATTATATAGTCACAACGATAGGGAGTTTCCAGTGTATGATATTCTGTAAATTGTTTACTTTACGTACTATGAATAAAAAATATATCTTGGGACACCAAGATCTGCAGTCCGTTGCAAAAACTAAAGTATTTTCTTTACCTACTTAAATACATAATAAATTATTTCAAAAATAATATATTAAATTATAATAATAATGTATTTCAATGTCAGAATATATAATCTCCGGGGCTGGGAATTGAATAGATTTCCTTGTTGTTCTTTTTTTACTTGAAGGAATTGTACGTTCGATCAATATTCGTTTTATACTTGGTACAAGGCATATAATATATAAAGCGTATACGAGATTCTATTTTACATATTTTAGCATAGGTATTTTAATAGTTGATTAATATCAAAATAGAAAATAACTAGATTTAAGATTGAAAAACTGTATTATTTTCTCATATGAATCGTATTTTTTAATATTTATATATTTTGAATAAAAGTAAAGACTTATTTCAAAACATTTTTTTGATTATTCTGTATTTTTTAATTTTGTGTTAAAAGATAAAATTTTGAGCAGGTGTTTTAGTATTTTCAAATCATATTTTGAGTGCATACGTGCTGCATGAGCTTATTTAACAGTTTTTTTAGTACCCACTGCTGCTCGGTCATATAACCAACTGGCAACTAACATATGATATTATAACGGTGATAGAATTTTAAGTATTATTACCACTAAAATATTTTTTTTTCTACACCATCATTATAATAAGAACCTAAAAGTATAAGTGTATAGAACCTCTAATGCGTTTAAAGAGAATAACTATTTTGTACGTAATTGGTTTCCGGGAACGACATTCCGTTTCGTCACGTTATTATTGAGGGCAAATATCCATTTTTCACGTGACAAATGTAATAAAAGTTACGCGAATCAAACAATATAATATAGTGCGTACCATCGATAGAATATAAGTCCTAGAGAACCACTGATACTACCACTGTTCTGTTCGACCACGCCGTGGATAGGGTTGATTAGTTGTCAGCCGTGGTGAATGGTATTAAGTAGACACAACAAAGCGCATAAAAGCCACGTTCGATTCTCAGCTAATAAAACATGCTGGACAATGACAACGGAACAATCAGTTCAGTGCGAGTATTACAACGCATAAAACGCGCTGAAAACCTCATCTTTCAACACATGTGACTCCTCCCCTTATCCCCCCTATCCTTGCATAACTCCCACTATTATATGCTTTATTGAAATCCCATTCTTATGATGTTATAAAAACAAAATTAGGAAACTATAATATAGTATACAGATCTAAAGAAAATAATGTATCTAAATCGCCACAAAAAATTGGCAGATTTTTTTTTTAATGTAAAGATCTAAGATCTCCAAGACCTATAAGACCAGGGGCCACATTTAAGTGGGCTCAGGGGGCAGTTTAAAAATAAAATAATGTCACATTAAATAATTAAAATAATACAATAAATCACATAAAGTAGGTGTCAAAAGTAAAATTGTGACTACGCATACCAGTTTCATAACAAATATAAGTACAGATAAAGATCTAATCCTAATTGTAGAACGGGTTTTTTTAGATTGTATTAGAATTTTTTTAATTTTATATTCAAGTGGTGGTCCGGTTAATATTTACCATTTTAAGATGTGGCCATCACATTATTATACTACCGTTGACTGTTTAATAATGACAGTTACAATTTTATAATAAAAAATATCAAAAAAGTTTTTACCTGCAGTGTCATAATATTAATTTAAAAACTATGTGACAAAAATTTAAAATAAAAACTGCAAAAGAACATTTTTAACCTACCTAGCTGTAGTAATAATTTATGCTACTGACGGTCTGGGTGATAATAGAAGGGAAAATTAAATTCCATGATATATAATATTTATTTTTATATTTTATATTTTCAATACTAGTACCTACATGTATACTCAACAAAAACATGTAGGCACCACAATTCAGAAGAAATGTTTATCACGGGACGCCACTAGTATAGACACTCACAATTTAGAGTGGCTTAAGTTTAATAAACAAATATATTATATGATTCGTTTTGGTGGGCTAAGATTTTAAAAACTATTGGAAGATCATTTGACATTTATGGTACTGAGGGAACCAGTGACGTTTTTCTGTAACTTTAATGGAAAGCCTACGAATACAAAATTTACCACATAATCGGACGCAGGTCTCAACTCAAAAACCATACGGGAGCACCAACCAAACCTAACCAATATTTCCTACTTTCCGAGAACTATAACAAACGCACAATTATTATTATATTTTATATATACCTACATTTAAATATAGATTTACTTATGACTCGTATCGTATAGAAGCGATGAAAAGTAATCATGAACTCATGAATGTTATTGGCATTCGAGAAACATTTTTTTTTTTGTTTTTAGATATCTATTATTCTGTCGATGCAAATTCCAATTCGTGTATACTTGTTTACTTACTCGAATGAATACAACCGGATTTAACTCGATACCCGTTATACCATTCCGATCGAAATCACTATACTTTGTACCGCGGTATAAGTAATATTACACTCGGAATCGCGGTGAGGGTCAAATCACAAGATGGACCTGTATAAGAGAACTAATATTCTTATAGTGTTTTGTTTTAATTTACTCGTGTGTCTTATCGACAGTCCCATGAATAAACAACACTCGCCCGGGGTCACTTGGCCTGAGTCGGAGCTTTGCAGACAACATATTATTATTATTATGCATACACAATGCACTACATATTTTACATAATGCATACAAACGAAGTACGAACTGTTACTCTTCTAAAAACAAAGATAAATGACAATAAACATTGGTTTTGCACCATGCAAACCACTGGTAATAACTACTATAATATATTTTACCTAATCCTCTGTTTATTGAAAAACGTCGACAATCTTATCTTTCCGATAAATCTCCACTCGTACAGTCAAAATGTATCTATAAATAAAATCTCTGTTAAAAAAAAACTCGATGATTGGCCACAGTTTTAAATTAAATAATATACTAAGAAGATCACAATTTTCTACCGAGCATGAATCATCGTTCTAATAGTAAAATAAAATAAATGTTGGGTGAACCGTCCAGTTATCGAAAAACGCCAACAATTAAATAATTAAAAATCAAATTGAATAAATAATTTTTGTTTTCAATAACAAACATAATGGTCATACTGCAAAACCACAATTTTATAGTTAACACATTATGCTGATAATAAAACTGCAAAAACAGTCAACTATATTATGTTTATGGCTTTTTCTTTCAAAATGGCCAACAATGTAACTTCAAATCATTGTCAATAAATAAAGCTTCTATAATAGTTCTATTAATTTAGGATAGGTAACTACCTAAATCTACATTGTTATCTGTATTAAGCGTATACCTATGTATAAGTTATAATATATTATCTATGTACGAACTTCGTTGATTTAAAGGGTTGCCATTAGTTACATATTATTAAATTAATATTATAATAATTAGAAATATGGCATATAAAACATTTTATTTTTTTAACAAATCTTTGGCTTGGGCAACGTTGGGTTACCATTGGTAACAGATAATATTTTATCACTAATGTTTTTTTATTCACTTACATTACTTTTTAATGTCACATATAACTAAACTATTTTGGATGTCTCATCTATCACCAAACATGGCAAAGTACCCTAATAGAAATTATTTTTATTTAAACACAAAAAATCAAACAAAACTTAAAACCCGATATTGCGATGGTTCCCCCAAAGTTAATAGACTCAAAAACTGCCCCATTGTTTTCAATAAAAAATTATATCGATAGATTCCTTGAGACTTGCATCCCCAGGAACGTTGCAAACTTTAAGCATTAACTTAAAGATAATAATTATTATTTCTTAAAACACTTAAGTTTTTAAAAATAAATTTTTTACATAATCTTAAGTATTTACGAAACAACGGTTTAAGAAAAAAAAATGTTGCTTTCATTATCGTTATATTATTTAATTTTTAACTCTTAAATATTGCAATAACATTCATTTTAAATTTCATAAGAATACTATTAGAAGTCTTTCGATAGTTATACATAAAAACTAAATTTCGGACAAGTAGTTTATTAGTAATAAGTTATAACTTATAAGTATTTAAAGTTTAGATGAGTGAAGTAGAACTGTAGAAGACCAACATTTTCCAGGGTACCTACCACTCCAATACTCCCATCTAATTATTTAAACTTTATAAAAGTACTTACTTATAAGTTATAATACATCAACTTCTAGTTCAAAAATCAATATTTGTGCTTTGAAATAATGAATTAAAAATACATGTCATTAGAAAAAGTAAAACATTTACAAAATGACAATGGTAAAAAAATATACCAAATAATTTAATTATTTTAGAACAATTTTAATATTTAACTGTTAAAAATCACATCAAAAATATATTTTCAAAATTGTTTTGAAATAATGAAAATCTAACACTGAATAAATCACTCGGTAAACATAATATTATACTGAATAATAGGGCCATATTTCAGGGGTCATTTTGGAAGAGGGAGGAAGTTTTTAAATGGTAGAAAGTTCTACTACCCTAAATTAACACCATTTCATATTGTTTGTGACAGTACACCGGCTGAACATGACAAAAGAAAAAAAGGAAAAACATCACAAGGACGTCATGACGTATGTACGTGAAGTAGTAAACACATTCACACTAATCTGCATGTAAGAAAGTTCTGTATGAAACTTTTGAAAATTAATGCAAACATTTTATGGGTATGTATTGTAAAATCTACTAGCTACCATCCTAAATCATTGTTGGAGATGAGGAAATTCATAAAATAAAAACAAACTACAATTTTTCCATTTATTTAACTTGTAGTTTTAAGGATATTCTTGTATAATTAATTGATCTCAAACTGTTCGACCCGAAGTCATCCAGGCAGAGGCTCAGACAATTAAGTAAAGATAGGTGAGCCTAGGATGATCAATTACGCGGACCTAAGCCAAATAATCAGAATCTAAATCGACGACATAAAAATAAAAAAAAATACACAAATGAAACATTTATTTCAAATAGTATATGCCACGGACCCATAAAATCCTAGTCAATGGCGCAACCGTGAGGGTTTTGAGTATTTAACTCCCCCCCCCTCCGTTGCATTTTCCCGTCGTAAATTTATTATTGATGTACGCAAACTGTAAAATACTTAGATCCTTTCATAATTCTGGCTGCACCACTGGACTCAGCATATTGGCAGTTCCTTTTATACATGGAATACCTGCTCTGCAGCAGCCAGCAGGCCAACAGTTTGATCTTTGAATACTAGACATACTGGTAACTTTGGACAAGTGAGAAACAATGTATGCGTAGAAATCGAAGCTTAGAAAATACTATAGGTAAGTATAATAGTATAATAGTAAATACAATCTAAGTATTCGCAAAAAAAAACTCTGAAATTGTAGGATACAATACAATTATTATTATCTTTTTAATATCAACGTAAACGTGAAATACGTATATAAATGGATATATGATTTGTTTTTTATCAGGTACAGTTGCACATACTCATATGGGGGTGTGCGAATCTCAAGTACAGCGTAAGTTTTCCCCGTCCTCGAAATGGATATCGTGCAAGAGGTTATTATTGTTAATCATATTAACTGTGTGGGACGACAAAACTCCGTGGTATACCGGCGCCGTTGTGTCCCCGCGACGGGATTGTAAACTTGTAAAAATTATTTCAACAGCGAGAAAATTGATTTTCGAGTACCTACCTCGCACTCCGGGTATCTTAAGCGACCACAAAAAAATGTGCCCGACAACGCTTCGAGATTAGTTCTCGGGGCGCGCCTCGTGGGTATTCGCCGTGGTTATTATTTGTCAGACCCCCCCCTCTCCTTTCAAGATAGTGACACTATAAAGTACACAAGTCCACGCGGTGACCTGTCTCCGAAAAATCGAAAAATTACGTTCGAAAACCGTGTGTTGAGCTGGTAGGTAGGTATATAATATATTTTATTGTAGCATTGAGTATATACAATATAATATAATATTGAATTCGATTTTTACGGTCAAACTGTACGACTTGAACGGTATAATGAAATATCACATCGATGTATCTTCCGCCATGGTTATTGAAGACAAGATTCTATTGATTCCGCGTAGATTCTATTCTATAACAATTATTGTGGTGGCTGGGGGGTCGAAGTTTACATTATTACGAGATCTTAAACAGGGAAATGTAGATTAGGTATGTATATTTAATGTATTCATAATATTTTTATTCACATAATCACAATTTTATGTATAAAATATTAAAATAAGAATAGGTCAACAACTCAACGTCGATTTAATAATTAGTTATTTTTATAACATTTTCAATTTATACATAGTAAAGAAAATATAAATTATAACATGAATTTCAGTTGTTTTATTTTTATTTTATTTTTTTATTTATTTGGAAATAAAACGTAAACTGCAGTAAGTATACCGAGGAAATGGTTTTCAACACATACATGATGTACTTATTGACTATTGTATACATTTGAGTGAAAAGTGTCATAGAGCACTTAAATGTACGAACGAAAACGAATTATTAAATGAATTAATTCTAGATTTTGAAAAAGATGTCTGTTACGGGAGGTTTCACGTATTGAGATTACATAATATTCAAATTAAAGCAAATGTTTATTTACAGTAACAACGAATATAAAGTCATTGATACGCGTCTGCGGCGAAGTGTAACTTTTGTTTAGGGTACTATAGCCCCTTCTCCCCGGACCACCCATTATATTTTCTATGATAAACTATACTGAGTACTATATGTAATAATATTTGAATTTGGAAGGATTTGGCAGAAATTAGGGGAGAACAAATCCCTGCAAGCCCATACCTTATTTACACCAATGCGGCAAAGATAAATATAATAATTATTAGTGTATTATTGTTTTGAGAACTCACTGTTTTTTTTGTCTGAAGCTATCAATATTACGGCTTTAAATAATTTTAATTTAGATTACATTTTTAATAATTGTTTAAGTATAGAAAATGATAATTTAAGTAACAGTGAAATGTGTCGAGTTTCAAGGCACGATTATACTTTATGAATTACATTTGAAAAAAAAAAACTAAAATATTTAAAATTGGAAATGTCCAAGCCCATCGAAATTTTAACGACGATCGTAAAAGATATTTGTAGAACAATACTCAGCCTCCTTTTTTTTGTAATTCCTAGAAAGGAAAACGTACCTACATGAAACCTTTTATTAAATGTTCAAACTTTTGGTATGAATATTAAAAATGTTATGAATTTTTAATTGCAAAATATTTGCAAATTTTAGTGATTATGACGAAGTTCGTCAAAATTCTAACTTCAAACGCTCGGGAAAAATGATTTTATGAATTTAAGTTCAACTTCTTATAAGTTTTGATTCCAGTCCCTGCAGATGATTAAATTAAAATCAAAGCCAATATAAAGTTACAATTACAGAATGTGTAATGTCATTATATATGATACGTCTGAGCGGAAATACAATAACATTGCAATAATAAGTGGATTATTGTTTTGTGTACCTGCCAGTTTTTTCACTGTACCTATCTATCTAGATTACGCATATAAATTGTTTAAAATTCGACTAAATATTTTGAAAATGTTATTATAAATGTAAAATTTAAAATTGTTATAAATCATTATAATAATAACAACAACAAAAATTAACTTTAAGTAGTATAATATGTAATTATAATAAATGTATTATTATTATTTGTTTTGGGTACCTACCCGCCATTTTTTTTGCCTGAATTTTTCAAAGTTACCTATATATAATTATTAATTACAAACGCTACGTCAGGACGAATGAAATTATTATATAATTTTCGGTAGGCCAAATATAATATATCAACTTGGCTGATTCACTATTACCACATATAGGTATACGCGTTATAGACCAAGAACGGGTCGTGATGGATTACTGCACTTTATTATTACCGTCATCGTCATCTGAACAAATATAATTTATATTATAACCTATAATATAGTATGATGGTTGTAAGCACGGTTTAAGATAGTAGTAAATTAGTGGTAAATCATGGTTGTAAGTAAATATCCTAGAGACAATATATTGTTCGTCGTCAAAATAGATACGAAATCGTGTGTCAAATGTCAATATTATCTAATATTTTACGAAAATTACCGAGAAACATCGACACAACAAGAACGACTATGCCTGCAGTAAGTAACCATAGTGGTTACGGAAAAAAACCAAATATTTAGATAATAATTTAACGTAGCTAGCCATTTTAATGACAAGACTCGCAAAATATGTCCTGCGTAGGTATATATCTTGTTAATCCGGTGACATTCCAGACCGTAACCCTACGCTTTTTAATCGAATCTCCGGTGGAAACCCGAACAAAAACTCTAAAACGAAAATTAAACAACACATTTATTTAAATTATAAAACGGAGTTTATTAAATTTTGTGACGTTAGCATAAACTTGATATTTCTTCGGAAATCCGGCTGTATATCAAATTTATAACCGCGGAATGTTGATCGTGTTGAATTTTTTTCTACTATTTAATATACATTACGTACCTACCTACTGTGCCCAATAACTAAGCTTCATCAAATTCGTTATTCGTTTCATGGTAATATTTTGTACAGCGTTATTATAATACAGGGTGAGCCACTGGAATAGGGCAAAAAAAAGAGGTTATGTCTATATACTTTTGGCCATATTCCCGTGGCCCACTTTTGTATATGTATTATATCGTGGTTAAATTTTCGATTTTTATTTTTAGATATATTTAGCAGTGCCTTATATACTTATATACGGTGAATGTGACCAACAAACAGTCTTCAATTATACTGATGGGTAATTTGACAAAATTGCATGTGCATGTGCAACATTATATTTAGATCAAAAAGGAACATCAACATTATAATTCTAGGGTTGCTCATAATTTTTCGTATTCTGTATTTTTTTTAATTAAACAATAATTGAAAACTTGCTAAGATAAAACTTTACGAATTAAGTTTTCCGAATACCTGTTGTTACTATTAAAATGGTATTATCCTTTTATGTGAGTTTGCAGTTTTTAATAAATTATGTCTTGTAGAAACACAGTTAATTTTCCGTCAGTAAAACTATCAGTTGAATGTTGATATATAGTTCTGGAAAGGATTTAAAATTTCGAATAATTTTTCTACGAACGGCAAACGTCACAGGAAGAGAATTATTAAATTAGATTATGTAAATAATTATCAAACAAAAAAGAATTAACATTTCAATAAAAATCAATTATTTATGTTTAAACCCGTTTGTTTATTGAACTAAGTAGATAAAGTTAGACTTACAAAAGTTTATTAAACATATATTTACTAAATTAACTGCTGCTTGTATCAGTATTCAGTAGCACAAACCATTAGAACTCCACAAATTAGACGAAGGTTTCGTTAAAATGTATTTGCATGCAAACGAATTTTGATCTTAATCAATCAAATGAATTAAACTCAATCAAAAAAAACCCCCAATCTTGAGTTGTCTTGGCAATTTTTAAGCTATATACAAAAAACAAATTTAAGTGAATAATTAGGGACTAATTTATTGATTCCAGTTTTCAAGTTAAGTAATAAGTATATTAATCCATTTAGTTTAAAATTGATTTGGATTACATTTTTGAATTTCAAGTCGTCAAGTCATCATAGTTTCCGTATTTGCCTAAGCCATTATCATAGGTTAGATAATTTAAGTTAAATAATTCAAAATATACTAGTTCAAATTTTGATTTTGATCAACATTTTCAGAAAAATTATCTGCTAAAAATTTGTATTTATATACAGAATACAAGTAGGTCGTAAAAAAATCTTAAGAATTTGAGAATACAATATTTAAGTTTAAAATTCAAAAATCAGATTTTGAATAACCGAATTATTAAAAATGAAAAGGGGATGAGCAATGAGCATTTTTTATTAATCACCCTGTATAATATAGGATGGTATACCGTGTGTATGGTTGTATTAAAAAACTTTTCAATCCTTCTTTTTAAAATAAAAGACTGACGTAGTGACGTATGGACATTCCATCAGCTTGTAGATAAAATCAAAATATTAGGATAAGACTGCGGACACGTAAATGAATATTATAAACTACACATCGCGCATAAATCACTTGAATAATTCATTAGAGCTAAATGCGTAAACGATTGCGTCAGAGATTTGTTTCATATACATTCGCCGCAGTGTGTATACCATACAATCGCGTTTATTTTTTAAGTGTTTTCGGTGTGCAGGTCAAAAACAAATGCATCGTTTGCTCTTTGCCTCTAAAACTTAAAATAAATAGCATTATACGCTCTACTCTCGGGTGGGCCATTTCTCTCCTCGCTAATCGTTTTCATGGCAGAAACTAATGTTGTCTCCGCGTGGTATATAGGTGAATTTTGTATAAAATTACTTATTATTCCGTCTTACGATTACAAACAAATCATGTTAATTTGAGTGTGTGTGTGTATTCTTAATATACATGCACATTTTGTAATCGTTCACATTACGTACCTACTTTGTGGTTGATTTTTTTTTTATTCGTGTTGTGATATACAGATTCTAGTTACATTTCATTTCCATTTACGCCAACATATCGAGTATTAAAAATAAAATGATTTTTTCATACCGAATAACCCTCCATAATATTATACTTCCTTACTGATCCGTCTTAACTTTTACGGCAGTTAAGTTGAAGTCAGGTCCAAGGGTATCGATGACACAATCAGGACACCCCCCTCTCCCTTCAGCACATGTAAACGGAAAAATGAAAAACTTACATTTTGTAAATTCTCTGGGTGCTGTATAGTTACAGAGGTATTTCCAAGCTGTACAGAGCAATTTGGCAGATCAGAAGAGTTGCTACGTCACGGTCACATGCGGGCGTCCAGTGGTCAGTAGGTTAGATCTAAATCTTCTGATACGACTGTACTTATAAAGGTGGCAAAAGTTCAACCATAATCGTGGAAATCGCTGTGGTCTCGGTGCAGGCGACGAAAGAGCCGCGGCCAAAACGGCTTTGAACTATTTACCTACAAGTGTATAAACAATATTTTATCTAATTATTTACAACAACTTCAGCTTATAATAACAGTACTAAGTGTGGATAATTATTTTTCTAATGAGAGATTATGATTTATGAGTGATATTATAAAAATAATTTAACAGTCGTATTCTGAGAGATCTGCAATGATTATAGATATCCATAACACCAATTTTTACAAATACCATTTTTTTTTTTAGAAATCGTATTAAAATTAAATTAAGAATTCTTAGGGGCACCAATTCCCTTCTCCCCTCGTTTTACAGATTAATCCAACATTCTACATCACATTTATTCATTGTGCTTACACTCGACTGGTTGTAAAAATGTCATACATATTTTAATAAACAAGGAGAAATTAAGTACCAATAATACTGCAAAAATTAAAACCATTGATAATTATATTATTACTTCGTTATCGATTACCTAAAATAACAACGCAGTCATTAGTCAAAGGGTATTCAACCTTTTTATGCAGAGAGCTACATGTTGTTTTCTTCAAATCTTCCACATTTGAAGAAAAACATGTATTTCATTTATATACAGAAATTCAGTTTTATTATAAAAATGTTTATGATGAAATTTTAAATTTTAAATTACAAATTATTCTTATTATTAAGACATATATAAATTAACATATTTCAATTTTGAATTGCAAATTATTTATATAATTTTTAGTCTAATAAATGACATTATTTTTGTATATTTGGTTGGAGCTGATACGGTGCAATCCTCATCGAGTTTTCTAGGAGACTTTCAGTTAACCGAGTTCTAGTTTTCGAATTGACAATTTTCATTCGTGAAAAAATATGCTCACAAGTGTAAGTACTACCAAAAAGAGACATTATTCTTAATGCGTTGTCTTGAAAAATATGTCCCCGTGCCAATATATTTTGAATATAAAGTTGAAAGTTCAACTGAATTAATTTAATTTATCTTATTGCATAATTCCCATTTTTTTTTTTTTTGAAAGCGATAGATTATAGTCGTTTCAATTTTATCGAAGTAGAAAAGATACATGCTATATTTTAAATGTGATAGCGGGCCGCTAAAACAGTTCAAGACCTCCTGCATCAGTCGTTACTTTAAACTATAACATAATAATAATAGTATATTCTATAGTCTATACATTAGCTAGAACTATACCTAAATTGTATAATATACGTTTAGCTAGCTCAAACCGAATTCGATTTTAAGATTCGAACAGACCAATAGTATTATAGGTAATGAATAGAAGATGAGACATCAAAAAAAATTGACCAACGACAGTGGTGTACCCGAAATGCCTATTCAAAACGCCGTGTGACCACAATTGGGCCGTACTATTAAATAATATAAACTATTATTATTGAAATGCATAACAAAAATATTATCACAAAATCCATGTACGTATTATATTAACAGACGGTAAAACAAATATCTTTCCTTAAAAAAAACCATACAATATGTAATTGATTCAAGTCTGGCAATAAACCTTAAACAAATACTTACTATTTTTAATTTAAATATTATTATTGATGATTAATTAGATTTACGGAATAATAAATTACAGCTTTTTTCTTTATTCATTCGTCATGATTATAAGCTTATTAAAAAAAAAAAAACTTAAAACATAAATTATTTTCTTTTTTTTGCTACTTAATTTAATCTTTCAATAAACGTAGGTGCATTAAGAAATAGTAGGTGTCACACAAAACTTAACACAATTATTGTCAATAAAAAATGTTCTTTTTATCGTTAAAAGTTTTAATAATGGAAATAAAAAAATATTAATTAATTAATTAATTAGGCACTTTTTTTATATCAGTCTTAAAAAAAACCTTAAGACAAAATTAATTTTATCCGTCGTTAAGTTTATTAATCACTCAAAAGATAAATGAAAAAAATATATATTTATACATAGGTATTCCTATGTGTTTGAAAAATAATAATTAATTTACAATATTTTAAAACGTAGAATTATTTTGTACTTTGACATTTTTTCAGTTAATGCGTTCCCAGTTTTAACTTAATTTTTTTATTCGTCAATACTAAAATACATATACATATATATATATATATATATATATATATATATATATATATAAATAATATATATTATATGTATTTTATAAAAAATATAGAAAATATATCAAATTTTATTCTATAAAATATAAGAATACATCATCTACAACAGTGTGAGGTTCATTTTTTAACATTTAACTCGACAAATATTGATTTATAATTACTAATTAGTCGTCAACCTGTCAAAAAATAATAATCGATCATCTCGACTTTACAAACATGATTATTATCATCATTGTTATTATGGTAACATCGTACAACACGTACGCTTTACAGAGTTAGGTGGGTTACTCGTGTATTACTTTATTATATCAACTGCAGACAGCAATACATTTAGCACACGCACGACCCGACCACACAGTATAATATGTTTAGTGAGCGAGTGTAAGCGTGTACAAACATAAATAACTGTTCACTACAAAAGATTAAAGCTTAAGTTTATGCAAACAAAATTTAGGTTTAGGTAGGTCCGGCAAGATATCGCCCCGTTTTAATTAAGCACGCAAACTTTTGGCACGCAAGCAATTTCGACCTCCCTTTCCGGCGCAGGTCCCGTCATTAAGTCCGACTGCTGCAGCAGCCTGTCCGGCGCCATACATATTGTGTGGCCACCTCTCATCGTCCGCTAAACTATACGATGATATTATATGCTCGCGTGTTCTACGAAATCGTTGCGAATTTCGATCTCCATCCGATTGTAATAGGTATCTACATTTCTCATTCGAGTATTGTATATTGTACAGGGTGATTCGCCAATCCGTCCTCAGGTCCTTGCAATTTTCAAGTAAGTATATATTTCAGGACCACAATATTTTCAAATATCTATATATTTTTTTTACATCATCTAAGGAGTGTCCTGCAGCCGTGGTGATGCAAACTATTTACTTTTTCAAACACCGTAAGGAGCGTAACGTTTTTGTCTAGTAAATGATGAAATATGATTGATGCAAAATATGATTTCCTTGAAAATGTTGATAAATCATCCAAAGTAAAATTCGAACGCGTATTTTTGAGTTATTTAACTTTGTGCATAATAGGTGCGGTACATATGAGGGCTATAAAGATTTAAAAATTATAGCTATCAACATTTTATAGATCATAAAGTATAATGAATACTAAATTAAATATTACATATATTTTATAGTTTTTATAGTTTTGTAAAACCATTCTCAAAGAATTTTATCTTATTATAGTATTCACTATTTAATAACTGAGAAACTACTCTTCCAAATTTTAATTTAGACACATCATTATTCCCACAACAAATCATATGTTAACGACATTTATTGGAAAAAAGGTTGGTTCTCATTTGGAAAAAAAAGTTCGTATGGCTAGAGGTCACACTTAAAAATAATATACGAAATCTAAGTATACATAGTATTCGAAAATACGGACATTAAGTACTTATATTATTTAAAAATTACCAAAATCAAAATTTGTATATATTAAAAGAAAAATTAGGGTGAACATGCTCGGTGAGTCATCCTGTATGTTCTTATATAACAGCAATTCGGACAACGGCCGAAACGTGCGCACCTTATATATTATACGTAATATTACATGCGTTATTTGGGTGCAATCTCTTATTAGTGTGCGGTCCACTGACGATTTACGAATTTAGTACCGATGCGGTCTCTCTTTCTATATACCTATATAATACTGCGGTCCACCGAAATTGTTCTCAGCCATATTCTGCTGCAGACAATAAAATGATGGACTGACATTAATGAGAATGCGCCATTTCTGGTTAGGTTTAGGCGTTAAATATTATATATTTATACGATAATCATTTTGCCGAAATCGTTGTACAAAAATATGATAATCAATAAACACGTCATCGAGCAAGGGTCACTGCGATATTTGGTATATCATACAGCACGTGGAAATGTGAAATCCATCGAGAAACCATTCTATATGTATTAAATACTATGAAGCTAGCATAATATAATTATTAAGTCTACGTGTGACGTGAACGTTTGGCTTATGTGACTCACACAATTATTAACAGTCTGGACCGACTTGGCGAACACAGTGCTATGTGCAAAATGTTTCTCCGACAATCAGTGACGTGTTCAAGCGTTATCTTGGGACTTTCGGCGACACAATGCGACACTGCGAAGGAATGCATGGAAACACTTCGGTCCAGCCAATCATTAGGGATTCTATCAAATTATACGAAAGAACCGAAATTGCACTTTAACCAATGATAACTATAACTATTGTGGGTAACGAATTGTTAATAATCGACTTTAAAATATAAAGTAACAACCAGCAATATTAATAATGGCCGAAAATGCATTTTTGCCGGCTGACCGCGGAACCCTGTGCTGCAGCACAGCTTGCACTGCCTCCGAGCCGACCCTGTTTACATTGTTATAAACCAGTGGTTCTCAACGGGGGCAATATCGCCCCCCAGTGGGCGGTAAAATGTCACCGAGGGGCAATGAACTAGTTTTGGGTGGTAGGGGGGCGGTGAACTAATTTTGGGTGGTAGATTACCATAATATTAGAACTATAAATAAAAAATATATCAAATATAAAAAATAAATAAAAACATGAGTTATTAGATAATTTCAATTTTTTCTTTTAAATTTTCCAAATACCCTTAACCTAACCCTTATTATAGAATTCTCACATTGTAGGGGCCGTTAAAAAAATGTTTGACACTCAAGGGGGCGGTAACTTAAAAAAGGTTGAGAAACACTGTTATAAACTATTGTTATTAACTACTTCCACAGATGTACACTAATTAAACTAGATACCAGATTTGCCACTTATTGTGGTCCAAAATGGTTAGAATATGACGTCACAATGTGCTAAGTGGAAAACACAGTACCTATGAACAAACTTTGTCGGCATTAAGTCCGGAATATTTTGTAGAATTTTTGAAAAAACAAACTTTAAATCACTCTTTATTTTGAGTAT